GCGGCGGGGCGCTGGCCCCTGTCGACCTGGAGTCCGTGAGTGCAGGCTCCGCAGAGGACCGTCGGAGGGCCCCTCGGCTCTACTCTGGGAATTTCTTCCATTACCGTCCTCCAGGAGCCAGAGAATGGGGGCATCCATCCACCAGCACAGGAAAGATGGACAGCGACTGGACCCTGCAGAGGTGTTTCTTACATCTCTATCTAAATACAATGTGAAATCTTATTTATTTTCTATTGATTTTAGACTTACACAAAATTAACAAAATCAGTATGCGATTCCCCACATATTCCTGGCTAGCATGGTGGCCCAGGACCAGGAAATCAGCTTTGATAGCAGGGCTGCCCGAGGAGGACCCTGAGGTGTGGCCAGCTGCTGCAGGACGCCCCTCTGCGGTCCTCTGTCACTCTCCGGCTACTGCAGCCGGCCGCTCTCCCTGCAGTCACAACTTTTCTTTCATGACCTTGACACATTTGAAGGGTAGAGGTGACTCTGTCCAGCCCTCTCCCTGGGGCTCTGTCTGGCTCCACAGGGCTGGCCGGGCCTGAGGCTTGTGGTGCCCCCTTGATGGCTGGGCTGAGGCAGTCCCTGCCCTGATGTCCCATAAGCGTCTTGGGGGAGATCTGCTGAGATGGGGGAAAAACTCTTCTCCCCAGTCTCCCGCCACCCCAGGTGTCCGGTGACCGTCCCCCCTTCCTTCCATGGCTGCCTGGAGTCCTCTTGGGGAAGAGCTCTCCTCCTCCCCAGTCTGGCTCCGTGTGGGCCAGGAGAGCCTTCTCCCGTTCCTGTGCCCTGGTCTCTGCGGGGGGCGGGGGTGTCTTCCTGGTGCTTCTTAGCGGTGGTCCTGCCCTGGGTCCAGTGGGAGGTGGGGCAGGTCTCTGGTTGTGGGTGTGGTGCCGTCCCCTGTACCAGACCCCTGAGGGACTCCGAGTTTCAGCTGCCTTGGTCACTCCAGGGCCATCTCAGTGTTATTCTTTACTGTCTGGGTGAGAAGGAGTGGTCACCCACAGCCAGGTGGTGCCCAGGTTTCTGGACCTGCCTTTTCATCCCTCCTTCAAAACAGCCGCCCAGAGTAGCTCTGAAGTGGGCCCCTCTCTGTCTCTGGAGTGGCTGGGGTCCAGGGCTGTGCCCACTGTGCCTGGCTGGGCAGCTTTAACGGGTAGCCTTGTTATTCACTCACCTTCCAGTTTTTAGGACGGTTTCTGTGTGAACCGTGAGCTATTATAAAGTGCAATTCATGATCTCTAAATGTGTAGGTATCTCTAGTCACACTTTATCATCTAATTTCAATGGCATTAAAATATATTCAATGTGATCTCAATAGTGAGTTTGTTTAAATGTGCTTCATAGTTTATATAATCTATTTTGGTAAATCTTCCAGGTATGTCTAAAAGAATGTGCCTTCTACCACTATTGGGTCCAATATTCTATATATCGAGTGTGTTAATGCCATGTAAAATCTGTGATCCTTACTGATTTGTGATCTGTCTGTTAACGGAGATGTTTCTCAAGCTCCATTGTGATTGTAGGTTAACTGTTCCCACGTGCAGTCTCTCTTTATATATTTTGAAGCCCCACTGCTAGGGACATACAGTTTTGTGTTTTATTTTGATGAACTGATCCCCAAATCATTTGAAACATTTTTTAAAAAATACTTTCTAGTTGTCGAAGGACCTTGATTTTTATTTATATATATGTGGTACTGAGACTCGAGGCCAGTGCCTCCCACGAAGTGAGCAGAGCTCTCCCACTGAGACCTTCTCCTTCAGTTCTAGTGACACTGTCACTTCAAGTCCCCTGGCCTGAGGTTAACAGAGCACCGACAGTCACAATATGTAATTGACCGTCTCCTCCTGGTTGTCATTCCTGTGTCTTTAGCCTTTGGATATGTTCCTTATAAGCAACAAATAGTTTTTAAACTCTGGTCTGACAGCCCTCTATACCCCAGCTCCTCTGGGGTCCCAACGCCTTTGGGTGCTCCCCTCTTACCTGTCTGCCTGCTGGGCCCGGTCCTCCCCTCTTTCTTCTCTTTTCTTTTTGAGTCGTCGCCTTGCTGGGGGGCCTGGCCGGCCTTGGTCCCGCGCCGTGCCCCCCGGGGCTGCAGGTGCGCCCACCACACTCAGAGCATCTCCGCCTCCACAGGACCCCTCACCAGACACAGCTCAGAACACCTTCACTGTGGCCCATTTGGGCTTCCTCCAGCATCCGTGAGATCCGGGATTCTCTCCAAGTTCTGCGTCGGCGGCCTTTAGAAGTACTTGTTTTCCCTCTGAAGAGACAGGTCTGTGTCCTTTCGCTGACTTAAGGCTCTTTCCTCTCGCTACTTTATAGCAATTTCACTTGTGGTTTGGGCTGACTGTGTTGCTTGCTTTTCTTTGTATTGCTCCTTTCTGGGTTTTGTGATGCATATCAAAGCTTTCAAAAACTCTCTCCAGGAGCCTTGAATGTGGGGCTGGGGCAGGGGCTCCATGGCACAGGGCTTGCCTAACGTGTGTGAGGCGCTGGGTTAATTAGCACCACACAAAAATGAATCCAATAAAATGAAGGCACACTTTCCATCTACAACTACAAAAAAAGACTTCATTTCATTCCAGTCAAAATGGCAATTATCAAGAATACAAGGAACAGTAAGTGTTGGCGAGGATGTGGGGAAAGGCACGCTCCCACACTGCTGGTGGGACTGCAAATTGGTCCAACCACTCTGGAAAGCAGTGGAGATTCCTCAGAAAACCTGGAATGGAACCATCATTTGACCCACTCTCCCACTCCTCAGGATATATGCAAAGGACTTAAAACCAGCATACTCTAGTGACTTGGCCACATCAATGTTTATAGTAGCTCAATTCACAATAGCTAAACTATGGAACCAACCTAGGTGCCCTTCAACAGATGAATGGATAAAGACAATGTGGTACATACACACAATGGAATATTACTCAGCTGTAAAGAATGAAGTTACAGCATTGTATGTCAGTAAATGGATGAAACTGGAGGCTATCATGATAAGTGAAATAAGCCAGTCCCAAGAAACCGAAGGCTGAATGTTCTCTCTGATATGCTGATGCTGACTCACATAGGTGGGGTGGGGTGGGTGAAGGCTCACCAGATTGGAAGGGGGAGGGAGCAATGGGAATGGGAAAGGCAATAGAACAAATCAGATATCACTTTCCTGTGTTCATATATGAACACATGACCAGCAGCTCCACACCAAGTACAGCCACAAGAATGTGTGTGTGTGTGTGTGTGTGTGTGTGTGTGTGTGTGTGTTTGAGAGAGAGAGAGAGACATGTCAGAATGCATTCTCCTGGGGCTGGGCTGTGGCTCAGTGGTGGGGCTCTTACCACGTAAGTGTGAGGCACTGGGTTTGATCCCAGCACCACATAAAAACAAATAAAGGCATTGAGTCCATACATAACTAAAAAAAAAAATTCTAAAAAATACATTCTACTGTCACATGTAACTAAAAAGAACCAAAAATTTCTTTAAGCGCCTGGCTCTAGGGACTCCATTGCTGGCTCTCTGGGTCTGTTTTTTGTCCAACTTTTATCATTTCTCAATCATGTCTGTTTTCTTCACTTGCCTGATTATTTCTGGTTGCTGAGCACAGTAGGTGGAGCATCTTGGAGACGCGCTGAAGTCGTGGACAGGGCATCTTTCTCCTGGGGGTCGGAGCGTCTGGCGGGCAGCCAGGCGGAGAGAGGCAGCTCCAGGTGTGGGGCTGGCCCTGGCTGCCGAGGCCTGCTTTATTTCTTGAAGGGTGAAGCCCTTCAGACGCCTACCAGAGCAGGGTTGCTGGGGAAAAGGCAGGACACTTTTTTGGTGTATGTCCTCCATCCTGTCCTGTCTTTAGTTAGCTAATTGTGGCCACCCTAACCCCAGCCCTGCCGAGCCCTCCGAGTACAGACGTGTCCGCTTGGCCCCAGGCTCTGCCATGCAAGCTGTTCCATCTGTTGGCCACAGGACCTGGGCTGCCTCRGATTCCTTCTCCAGGCCCTGACTCTTCACTTCGGAGCTCTCCAAGGCCTCAGACCGCTCCCCCCAGGATCTGCTCAGGCTACCTGCCGCCCCAGCTTTGGGGACCCGGATTGGCAGCCTCCTCTGGGTTGCTGTAGGAAGGCCCAGTCCCTGCAGGCCGTCTGCGCTTTTGTGGGGGTACTTGAATGGCCCGGCTGGACGTGGTGCAGCTGTTCATGTCTTATCACCGGCATATTTTTTTGTCCCTTTTAAGATTCATTTCAGGATTTCCTTTCCCTCCCTCACCTTTTTGTTTTGAGAGTTTTTCTGTGTTGTTCAGATGGTTTCTAAACATCCTCCTGCCTCAGCCTCCCGAGTAGCAGGGACCTCAATGCACACCTCCAGGCCTGGCTTCATGGCAGGATTTTCTTATTCTGAGAATTCACCTTTGTTCATGGTCAGTCCCACGCCCTGGAGACACTGATCCCTCCAGGACTCTGCTGGCCCAGTCTCCGGTGCCTCCTGTGGCCTCCTGTGGTCTGTTCTGCGGTTCCTTCTTCCTAGGGCTCTGGGTGGCCTGCCTCCCCGCCCAGAGCTGGGCTGCACCCTCCTTTCCCTCTGGCTGCTCCTTCCTCACTGTTTGTCTCCTTTGCTGACTCGGTTCCTACCTCATCTGCAGGGTTAGCCTTCAGACCCTCTCAGGTGACCCCAGCCAGGGGCAGCCCTCTTCAGCTGGGGCTTGGGTCTGCCCTCTTCTGAGTCCAGGGGGTTGGGGCCGCAGGCCGCCCGGCGTCTGTGTTGTGTCTGTGGCTGCTGGGTCCGTCCTGGGGTGGGCTCACGGCCTGACTTTCAGGGCGCAGGGAGGTGGGGGACTTCGCTCTTGACCCTGCTTGCGGGGTGCGTGCTGCTGGCTCGCTCAGGCTTGGCTGCTGGACGGAGAACGTGTGGGTCCTCGGGGGCAGTTGGTGCAGGCTCCATTCATCTGGCAGATCCGGAGCTAGGGGCGCCCGCCAGGATTAGGTGCATGTGAATCCTCTCCCCACTGCCAGGGCCCACCCCGGAGGCCCAGGCGGCCACCCGCATCCAGTGTGCCTTCCGGCAGCACCTGGCGAGGCAGGCGCTGGCCCTGCGCAGGCAGGAGCGGCAGGAGTACCTGGAGCGGATGGAGAAGCTGCAGAGGGAGGTGAGCGCGGGCGCCCGCCCCGGATCCGGGCGTGGGGGCGGCGGCCAGGCGGGGCTGGGGCGGGGTCCTCCCGGGGCTGAGGCGCAGTGACCCCAGGGCCTCGCCCGGCAGGCCTACCTGGCCTCGGTGCGCCGGGAGCAGGAGGCCGCGCGGCGACAGCGGCAGCAGGAGGAGGCGGCGCAGCGCGAGCGGCAGGAGGAGCTACGGCGCCGCGGTCGCCTGCTGGACGCCGCCTTCGAGGGCAACGTGGGCGAGATCCGGGCCGTCCTGCAGGAGGTCAGTGGGGCGCGGCGGGCGCGGCGGCGCCAGGTGACGCCAGGTGACGCGAGGTGACGCGCTGCGGGCCGGCGCAGGTGGAGCAGCTGCTGACCCGCGAGGGCGTGGGCCACGACGAGGAGGGCCGCGCGCGGCGGCTGCGGCGACGCGTGGCCACGGTGGAGTGCGAGGACAGCCACGGGAACACGCCGCTGTCCGAGGCGGCCGCGGGCGGGCAGGCCCTGGTCATCCAGCTGCTGGCCGAGCTGGGCGCCAGCCCCAACAGCAAGGTGCGCCTGCGGGCTGGGCAGCGTGGAGTCGTGGGTCCCAGCGCAGCCGCCGCCGGCTCATGGGGCCCCTCGCGCAGGGCGCCTTCGGCAGAACGCCGCTGTACCGGGCAGCCTTCGGGGGCCACCTGGAGGCCGTGGAGCTGCTTCTGAAGCTCGGAGCAGACCCCCGAGTGTACGCAGACGACGGGAGCACCCCGGAGCAGGTGTGGGGCGGACGCCGACTCAAAATCTCCCTTGTCGCCGCACGGTGGCGCACGCCTGTAATCCCAGCGACTTGGGAGGCTGAGGCAGGAGGATCGTAAGATCAAGGCCAGCCTCAGCAAATAAGCAAGGCCCTGTCTCCAAATAATAAATAAGAAGGGCTGTGGATGTGGCGTCGTGGCAAAGCGCCCTGGGTTCAATTCCCAGCACCAAACAAAAAATAAAAATCCTCCTTGTTGCCTGCAGGCAAGGTGACAGCCACCTGAGTTGTTTGGGTGACTTCCRTGCAGGTTTGCCTGATCACCCTCCAGGCTCCCGTACCGTACCCGAAGGCAGTGTTAGAGCCCCAGATGAGGAGGCTGAGGCTGGCCACTCCAGGGGCTGGCTGGAGTTCCCAGGGTGCTGGCGTGTTGGCCGAGCTCCTCCCAGGCCCTTGGACTGTGGGGCCCAGGAGGCTACTGGGAGCCTAAGAGCCCCTGGGAAACCAGGTCAGGACATGCCTGCTACCTTCATTTCCTTTAAGTCGACTTATGTCCCCCAGTCCCCAACTCAGGTCCCACCCCTAAACTGAGGCTGCCTAGAAGTCAGTCCTGGGATGGGCCTCAGGCCTTCGGGGTGGGGTGGGGAGGGGGGGGCAGGGTAGACTGCCAGGGTCTCGCCCAGCCTGGGACGTTGGCGCCACCCTGTGGCTGCTGCTCTAGGCCCGGCCTGTTGTGCCCTGCCCTTCCCCTTGTCTGCCCAGGTCCCTGGGCTAGCAGGGTATCAGTGGGCGGCGAGGTGTGGAAGAGCACAGGTGAGGGTCTGGGGCTGCTGAAAACTTGACCCGCTGTGCCTGGGCGCTGCTGCTGGTGTCATGTGCCAGGAAACCGGCCCTCTCCGTTGGCTGGCAGAGAAACAGGCCCTGACCTGAACCTCACCTTATGCAAAGTTAACTCAGTGGACTAGAGACCCAAATGTAAATGCAAAAACAAAAACTCTGCCAGGCCCCGTCCCTCTCCCCAAGTCACCACGTCCTGCATGGTATGGTGAGTCGGTATTTTAGTGCAGGTTTACAGTGGGCATACAGTGGTGCCCCACTGAGGTTCTAATTTGCATCTCTCTGCTTTTTAATTAGTGAAGGAGAGAAATCTGCCTTATCTTGACAGGTGTTGAGACCTCTTTTTAAAGAAATGCCTGTTCAGCTGAGTGTGGTGGCTCAACTGGCTGCGGTTATCTCAGCAGCTTGGGAGGCTGAGGCTGGAGGGTTGCAAGTTCAAGGCCAGCCTCAGTAACTTAGCAACGACCTGAGCAACTTAGCAAGACCCTGTTAAGCACCCCTGGGTTACAAAAAAAAAAAAAAAAAAAAGTGCCTGTGCACATTAGTGGTAGATGGCCCTGTCTGCCTGAAGTGTTCTTCACCTGTTCCAAACCAAGCCTCAACATCGGTCGCACGTGCTTGTTCTTTCACTCTGTCTGTCTTACCACAGTGAACTCCAGGGCTCTTTCCCGTTGTGCTGGGTGCTCTGTGTCAGTTTAAATCTCCACATATCCCCACGGACACAAAGATATTTTCCTACTCAATCTGCCAGATGTTTGAGTTCAGACCCGCAGCCACTGGGATCCACATCTGTGCAGTACCCATGTGTTTCCTGTGAGTCCCTCGTCATGTTCGTGTCATGCGAGTGTGCAACTTTCCTGGCACATTTTTCAGAAGATCGTACTCACCTCTGCCACCTTTATTCTGAATCAAATGCCTAACCTGTACAGCTGCACTTGAATGTTGCTGGTCAGAGGGAGAGGGCTCCAGAGGGCCTGGCRCAAATCAGTGTTGCTTGCAGCTCGCTGGCCAGACCCTTAAGCCATTTGACTCCATGACCACGGCCGATCAGGAAGTGCGATCCCATCGTTAGTCTAGAAGGTGGAGGGGTGGACATATACAGTGGACAGCTCTAATAACTACTTGGTTCTGTATTTTCCATTACTTTGTCTTGGTTTATTCTGCATATTTTCTTCTAACATTTCTACCAGTTGAATAATTCTCTCTTCCAGCTACATCTATCTGATTATTAAATATGTACGCTTTCTTCTTAATTTGGTTAATTTTAATTTCTAGAAATTTCATTTCACACACATACACACACGCGCGTGCGTGCGTGCACACATCTTTCAGCTTTTACCAAAAATCTCACTCTAGGCTTCCATCTCCTTGAACATAATAAATATATTATTTTAACATCTGTAGCTGATAACTCCAAACTCTGGATCCCTGTGGATTATCTCTGTAACCTGTAGTTCTAGCAAGTTTTCACTCATACTGTTTTCTGTTATTTTCTGTGCCTTTTTGTCGTGTTTTTAATTTTTCAATATTTATTTTTTAGTTTTTGGTGGACACAACATCTTTATTTTATTTTTATGTGGTGCTGAGGATCGAACCCAGCGCCCCACGCATGCCAGGCAAGCTCGCTACCGCTTGAGCCACATTCCCCAGCCCCTCATGTCATGTTTTATCTGTAGCAATAATTTGAAGCCCAGCAAAATGACACCTCCCTTGACCAAGGCTCTCCTACTGCCCTGACCTGTGCTGAGCACTGACAGCCTGGAGTCACCCTACCAATTTCAAGGCTAAGCCAAAGTCTCTTTGAGGGCCTAACTCTGGGTCACCTTTATCCCAAGAGTGCAGTCTTTAGAAACCCAATCCAGGCTGGGTGTGATGGTGTGCACCTGTAATCCCAGCAAGTCTGGAGGCTGAGGCAGGAAGATTGCAAGTTCAAGGCCAGCCTGGACAATTTAGTGAGATCCTGTCTCAAAATAAAAACTAAAAAGAGCTGGGGATGCAGCTCAGTGATAGAATATCTCTAGGTTCAACCCCCAGTACCAAAAAAAAAAAAAAAAAAAAAAAACGTAGAAATAAAAATACCCCCTCCCCCAAAAAACCAATACAAGTAAGGATTAGAGTGGGATATTTATTCACACACTGTAAATTCCTTCAGTCACCCTCCACCTGTATTCATTCATTCATCCATCCATCTGAGCCTGTCTTTCTTTTTTGTTTTTTGTACTAAGGGTTGAATCTAGGGGTGTTTAACCACTAACCACATCCTCAGCCCTTTTTAATTTTTGAGACAGTCTGACTAAATTGCTTAGGGCCTTGCTAAATTGCTGAGGCTGGCCTCAAACCTGCAATCCTCCTATCCCCGCCCTCCGAGCTGCTGGGATTATAGGCATGAGCCACCTCGCCTGGCCCTAGTGCCTCTTGAGGAACTCAAGTCAGAGAGCTCAGAGGGTCATTGCCAGCCTGGGGGGTCTTGGTAGCCCTAGGGTTTGTCTTACCTGTCACTGGTAGATGCTGAGTGCAGTTTCGCAGGGTAGGCAAATCAAACTGCCTCTGAGAATGTTTATTTGAGATGCATTGAAAGCAATTGAATTTGGCTCTGGGAGGGCTTTGAGCTAACAGCGGCTATAAAGAGGGTGGAGAGACTGGTGGACCTGAACCCGTCCATGTACAGGTCCTGAGAGGCCACTTTCTACCCATCAGCCACATCCCTGGCCTCCTGGAGGCCCACAACCCTCTCGGCAGCCCCTCCCCCCCATCTGCCTCCAGCATCTGCACACAGCCAGGGCACCCTTCCCTCTGTCTGTGAACTCTCCCCATCAACCCACTTTCAGGCACCCTCGGGTCCTTCCCTCCCACGTGCGGCCTGCTTGGGCTTCCTGGGCCACCTCTCCCTCTGGGCAACTCTCCTCCCTCCCTCCCTCCCTCCCCGCCACGAACCTTCTGCTGCCCGTCACCCATCTTCACCAGCCCTCCGCCTCATCAGCCATGGAGCACTCCAGGGCTCGTCCCTTCACCCCCATCTGGTCTGGGTTCAGCACCTCCCTTTCCACCTCCCACTGCCCACTACCTGCCTGGGGCCGGCCTCTAGCCTCACACCTGTGTGCTTCCTCCACAGTGGACAGCCCCCCCCCCCCCCCCCGCGATGCGGGCTCCCTGGGCTTCTGTTTGCCAGGCCCAGTTCCCAATGGGACAGGACCCCTCTCTGCCCTGCCTCTGCCCCCAGCTGTGTCCATGGGGGGGGTTAGCTGTTAGGGAGCCACCCCCACCCTCCCTGCACAGCAGGCCCCTGTGGAAGGGGTCAGGCGCTGGTCCTGGCCTTCAGGAGCAGCGCCACCCGCTCATGGGGTCCTCAGGGTGTGGTGGGTTTGCTGCTGGAGGGAGGGAGGGTTGGTTGGGCCTGCCCTCAGCTTTAGGGCCTGCTTCCCCCTGCTGGCCGCACCTGGCAGGCATCAGCATGCAGACCGGGTGGGGCTGGGAGGGAGAGGTCCTGGGTGAGTTCTGCAGGGCGACCGGCAGGGGCTGTGGGCAGCCAGGAGGCCTGAGCAGTGGACTGGGGGCTGGGGAGAGCGTGCAGAGGAGTGGTCTGCCTCCAGACCCTACCACAGGACTTGAGCAAGGAGCCCAGAAAGACCCTGGGTAGTCTGGAAACCATGGTGACCAAGGTTTTGGGCCCATGAGGGACCCGCTTTTGGACTGCACTGCCCTTTCTCTAACATGAGAGTGCAGTGACTCCTTGTGGGTTCCCAACATGCATGCTTCAGGAACAACAGGTATCCTGTCATTAGGTGGCCTCGCTGGACGCGGTAGCTAGCGTGCTGCAGACTTGGGACCTGGGCCTCACAGAGGCCATGCTCCAGAACATGGAGGCTGAGCAGCAGCGCCGGGCCCAGGAGGATGAGAGACACAAGCAGGCGGAGGCCAAACGGTGCAGCAGAGGGGCAGGGGCAGCGGGGCAGCGGGTGCTGGTGGGGGGCCCTCTGATCTGCCCCATTTCGTCCCAGCTTGAACCTCAAGGTGCAGCAACTGGCCAAGGAGCAGCAGCGGTGTCACAAGGAGGTGAGCAGTGGCCTCTGACCTCCCTTCAGAGGTGAGCCAAATAGGGAGGGGACAGTGGAAGGACCTTCAGTGGAAGGACCTTCTTAGGGGCCTGCCCCTCCCCCCAGCTGCAGCAGGCCTACTGCGAGCTCAACCGGAGGATCACGGAGCACGAGGAGTGTGAGCACCAGTGCATGGGCAGGACTGAGCTCACGCTGCAGGTGGGCCGCTTCCCTTCAGAGGCCTGGGTGCCCTTGTCCTGCCCTCCCATTCCCAGCGGTCTCTCTGCAGCCTGCAGCCTGCAGCCTCGGGGGGTGGAGGGGGGTTAAGGGGAAGCCCTGGCTGGGGGCCTCAGGTTGTCCACGGGCCCAGTGTGAAGCAGAGAAAGCCTCTGGGTGGCAGCTAAGTGGGGGACAGAGCCAGTGGTGGTCAGCATTTCCCCTCCTCTAGGCCATAAAGGACTCAGAGGCCCAAGTGGACAGGCTGAGGCAGGAGGCACAGAAGGCGGAAGAGATGCTGGCCATGGCCAGGCTGGAGCTGCGGGAGCAGACGCAGGAAGGTGGGCAGGGCTCTGCTGCAGGCTGTGGCCGGAGAGGGGAGGCCCAGGGAGGGTGCTGGACACCAGGATCTCTGTGGGCTGCACCCTGACCTCCCCACAGAGGAGGAGGAAGCGCCTGGACTGAAGTGTCAGGTCACAGATCTCCATGACGTGCTGATGAAGGACGTGGGTGACCGCATCCGTGCTGATGGCCGGTCAGTGCTGTCTGGGCATGGGTAAATTGGGGTGTGCTCACTTGATGATGACCCAGCGGCTGCCCCCAGGTGGCCTCTTGTCATCGACCCTTCGGGCCAGGCAGCCACCTTCCTGCGCTACCAGGATACCAACTATGTGGATGCTGTGAACCCAGAGCACCTGAGGCCTGAGAGAATCCGACTGGCTCTGCTGGGGGCACTCAGGTGAGGCAGTAAGGGGCAGGGAGGGGCCAGCCGGGCCAGGCCAGGCCCTGCCCTGCCCTGATCAGCACCCCCCACAGGTATGGGAAGCCACTGGTGTTCGACCTGCGGGAGGTGGACCTGTTCCCTGCAGTGCAGCAGCAGCTGGAGGCGGTGCAGCCTGGTCTGGCCCCAGCACTGCTCAGCCGGGAGTTGCTGGCCCAGGACCGGTACCTCTCCCTGCTTCGGCCCACGGATGGGCCCGAGTACGGCCCCACCCAGTTCCAGGAGGCTCGCCTGGCCCACTTTCGTCTCTTCTTCGTCACCCAGGTCCAGTGGCCACCTGTGGAGCAGCTGCAGGTGCTGCTCCCTGTGCGGGTACAGCTGCCCCACTAATGCAGCACCCCAATAAAACCTGCCCAGGGCAACACGTCTGTGACTGTGAGCCGGAAGGTTTCGCCCCAGCCAGTCTGGAGCCCTGCTAGAAAACATGGGGGGAGGCCCCCACGTGGGACAGGCAGGCAGGTACCTCAGCAGGGAGGACATGCATGGGCAGGCACAGCTGGGCACCAGCCTTGATGGGCAGACCAGTGCTGCAGGTGGGTGGGTGGATGGAGAGACACATAGGGGTTAAAATGTAGTCAATTTTATTCTCCTTAAACCACAAAATAGAGTCTTTGGTTGTACAAACGTCACTAGTTACAGTCTCGCCAAGAGAACCCGCTTGGGGTGGGGCAGTCAGGCACAGGCCAGGCCCCTGAGGGGTCTCTTTAAAATGCTAACACCCAGGTTAAAAGACTGGGGCAAGGGTGGTGTTGGAGCTGGCAGGCCCCCACCCCAAGTCTGGGAAGGCCCCGCCCCCTAGGAGGGCACAGGGCCCAGGCCCCGCCGCCCAGGCCGCATGGGGCGACGGCTGCTGCACAGCGCCACATCTTCAGGGCCCAGGGAACTGGGGGAGGGCCTGCCTAGGAGCACCAGGGCCACCTCTCCGTCCTCCTCCTGAGGGCCTGGGGGCGGGGCGGGAGCAAGGACAGGAAGTAAGCCCAGGGTGACCAGGCACCCTGGGAGCTTACCCCCAGCCCAGCACCAACTTACCAGGGCTAGGAGTTGGTTCCAAGGACCTCAGATCTTCCACAAAATCTGGCGACTGTGATGGGAAGAGGGGCTGGTCAGGGCTGGTCCAGACCTGGCTGAAACCACCCTGGTGGACCTGGTGGACCTGGTGGACCTGGCCGGCCCCTCTGGCTCTGAGGCCCACAGAGCCTGGGTGAGGACACAGCACAGCTGGGCTGCAACGGGAGGGAAGAGGGGGGAGGCCCCATACCAGAGAAAGAGCAGGGAAAAAGTAGGGGTGGACAGAGCTCAGGTGGGACAGGCACAGGGGAGTGGCAGGAGCGTGCACTGGGCCCATGCGCGTGCAGAAGGGCCAGGAGACTGCCAGTACCTGGATGTCATAGACAGGTCTGGAAGAAGGGAGGGCTGCGAACGCCCTGTAGTCAAACTTCTTTCCAGACAAGGGCTTGAAAGGACAGCGTGAGGGGGAAGAGGCAGAAAAGTGCGAGGGAGAGGTGAGGGCGGTGTGGGGGAGTCTGCACCTGCACCGCCACCCCCATGCCGCAGGGGTGCAGGGGGGGAGACAGCTTAAGGGCGCTCACCAGGCGTCCCGGGGTGGTGCTGGTCTGGAGGCCGAGATCTGGGGTACAAGACACTGGCATTGGCAAAGGCTCATAGCTGGCAGAACCCCCCCCCCATCCTCCCAGACACACCGACCTTCCAAGGGGGTGGGCGATGGGGTGGGAGCAGGCGAGGGGGACTCGGCCAGCCGCTCCAGGGGCCCTCGCTTGCTCCGGCCCTCCTGGGACTTGCTGAGCACCATCTGTGCACGCAGAGCGTCCTGCTCCAGAGACTTCATCCTGCGGAGACCCATGGGTGGGCGGAGACCAGGGAGTGGGCGCGGCGCGGCCCCGGGGTCTGGGTGGGGAACCCACTTACCTGGCCGCCCTCCACAGCGCCCGCTTCTCTGCTTCCTGGGCCCGGCGCTCCGCTGGGGACAGGGCCCGCTCTGGTGCCGCCAGCTCCGGGCTCTGCATGCGCAGCCGCTCCTGGTGGCGCCGCTCAGCTTTGGCTGTTCGCACAGGGGCGCTGCCTCCCGCGGGCAGCGGGGATGCAGGGCTGGGCCTAGGCAAGAGGGAGGCGAGTTGAGGGGGCGGGCACAGCGGGGGAGGGTGGTGGGGAGGGGGCGGAGCTCACCCGCCCAGGCCGGCCCAGAGCGGCTSGTCTTCCTGGTGCTCCTCCTCAGGGGCCTCCCTGTCCAGGGCGAGCCCAATGTTGGGCCCTGCAGTCGCGGCCTCCTCCCGCAGCATCTGCGCCCTCTTCTGCTGCAGCTTGCGGGCTGCGGGGAGGTGGGTGGGTGAGGCAGGCGGGCACGCGCGCGCGCACACACACACACACCCCGCCCCCCCTCCCGCCCTCCTCACCTTCCTCCTCCTGCATCTTCCGCAGGTCGTCGGCACCCACCAGGGACACGCGCTTGGGGGGCCCCTCGGCCTGGGGCACCCGCACTTCCGATTCAAAGTACTTCTGCCGCTCACGGAAGGAGAGCTGCTCCGGGGAGGCTGCCGGGGGCTGGGGAGGTGGACCTCACACTCGGCCAGAGTTCCTCGGCGGGCACCCACCCGCACTCAGTGCACCGCACGGCAGGGCGCCCGCCTACCTGGGCAGCGCAGTCCTCGGGAGGGTGTGCGGCGGGCACTGCGGCAAAGGCCCTGTAGGCCTGCTTCACGTTGGCGGGCAGCTCCTCCGGGGAGGGCGGGGAGGGCGTCTGGGGGCGGAGTGCCCGTGAGGCGGGGTGGGGGGCAGCTGTCCACTGCAGCCACCGCCCAACCAGCCACCAGCTGTCTCCACGGACTGCCACTGATCCCCCCCTCGCCCTGTCCTGTAGAGGGGAAGGAAACTGCCACCCCTACCCCCTGTGGGACAGGACACTCACGGAGCGGGGATCACCTCTGCCCCTGGGGGCCGGGGAGCCCCTTGGCCAGGCCTGAGCCAAAGGCTGGATCACCCCGGGTTTTGTCTGCAAAGGGCAGGGAAGGGGGCAGAGAAGTACAGGATCAGAGGTCCAAGAAAGGAGGGAGAGAGGGAGGGAGCCTAGCTGGACAGCAGGGGCTGGGACATGCACCTGAATGCCTCAGCCTTCGGGGACTGGGCTGGCAGCTGGGCTCCAAGTGGGCCCAGTGCCCACCCCATCCTGCAGGGCAGGGTGAGGGGTGCCTGAGGCCTGGCCCTCCTCTCGCAGCAGGATGGGGGGGGCATGAGGGACCCAGGCAAGGGGTAGTATACTGGTGGGTCCTTGGTGCTGGCCCACGTTCAGGGAGGGCTGGATCCCCTCCAGGAGCACAAGCACTCCCCTTGTGGAGGCCAGCTCCACACAGCACCCATCTACAGCACTCCAGGGGGCAGCAGAGATGCTCACCTGCTGGCCTCCAGGGGAGCAGGGGGCCTCCGCCATCCTCCCTCCAGTTGTTCCAGATGGTACCTGCAGGAACCAGCTGGTGGGTGGGGGAGGGCTAGGCAGAACTGTGTCCCCCAAGTAAAAGGATTTGGGGGTCCCTAGCACCCATGCTGGCAGCACAGAAGCTGCTACTCAATTCTCTGACCAACCACACCCTCCAGGGATATATCGGGACAGGCTTGGCCACCACAAAGGGTGTGCCCCAGCCAGAAGGCAGGAGTTTGGGGCTGGGGTTGTGGCTCAGCAGTAGAGCATTCGCCTAGCATGTGCGAGGTCCTAGGTTCGATCCTCAGCACCACATAAAAATAAATAAAAAACAAAGGTATTGTGTACACTAAAAAATCAAAATGTTTTTTAAACAGAAGGTAGGAGATTAGGCCCCCAAACCCAGAACACCCCAGCAGTGAGAGCCGGGGAGTCCTCCCATGGTCCACCAGCCACTGTGCCCCCTCCTAATGAGAGGGTGCTAGGCCCCACCCCTGCTTCCCTCTCCAGGTTTTGTGCAGCAGGAGGGTCCACACCCAAAGCCCAAGCAGGCTCCTTCAGTCCCCAGGCCCACCAGGCCACTCACCGCCTCCCCCACTGCTCCAGCAGCGTCCTCCCTGACCCGCCCCTGAAGCACTCACACTCCTGTGGGGTCTCCCAGCAGCAGCTGACTGGGCTCACCCTCTACCAGTGTTATTTATACCTCCTGGGGAGGAACGGGGGCTGAATGTCCTTCCTGTCTGTCCCCAGACCCAGTGCCCTGGAGGCCACACCCAGTTAATGCTAAGCCCTTCTCCATTCACCCTGGCCTCCCAGGACACTCTGCAGCTGCTCCAGCCCACCCATTCCAGGGCTGCTCATGCCCGCCCTCCCCCACCAGGAGCCTGGAGAGACTCTGGTGACTTCCAGCTGCCTCTACCCCAGGAGCCCTTCTGCCTGCCACTGGCTGGACTCAGTTTCCCATACCCAGCTGACTGGTAAGGATGAGGCAAGGAAGAGGTCGGGGGCTTCCAAAGGACCCCTCTCCACGCGTGACTAAGGTCAAGAAGTACAGGGCAAGACGCGGCTAGGCTCCTCCAACCTCAGCCTGTGCCCCACCCCACAGAGGCTCCTCCACGGTGGCCTCGGCACTCAGCCCATGGCAGTGGCTGGCCAGGTGAAGAGGGAGCCGACAGGCTGGTGGGCAGATGGACAAGGCGACAGGAGGGTGCAACTCAGCACATGTGGGATACTGACCCTCTGCACACTGCCAGTGCTGGGCAGAGCAGCCAGGACCCGGTAGTCCAGCTTCAGGGGCTCCAGGCTCTGGCCCTGGGGAGCAGAGAGACACTGCTAGCTGGGCTGTGTGCCTGGGCATGGACTGCACTGCTTCGGGGGAAGATGCAGCACAGAGCCAGGCCCCAGGGGACTCACCGTGGCCTCCACAGCCTCAGGTCCCCAGTGTGGGGTCTGACTGGGCAGTTCCTTCTCCTGTGAGGGGAGCAGACAAGTCAGGCATCAGCAGTTCAGGTCCCCGGCCCTGGCTGCCAGCCACAGGAGTTCTGACCTTGCTTGGGCCCTCAGGGCTCAGCTCCCGGTCGATGGACGAGATGCTCTCCAGGCTGTTCCGGTGGCTGATGCCTGCTGCAAAGGGGTTGGCAATGACACCTGGGGACACCTGAGAGGAGAGGAGTGGCTGAGGGTGGGGTTCCCTGCCAGTGCGGTCCCACCTCCAGGGCAGACTGAAGCCTGGGACCAGCAGTGAACACAGAAGCTGACATCCYACAAGCTCGGCTGGCCACAGCTGAGGTGGCCTCTGTCGTCGCCCCAGGAACAAAGAACCAGCAGTCACCAAGATGGAGGGAGGGAAGCCATTTGTGGGTGATGCTCCCCAAGGGACACCAATGCTGCCAGAGGACAG